AAACTCTTCAATCAATTTTAATCGTTATTTATTTTAAAAGGAAAGTTAGAAATAACATTAAGTTTGCATAAAATTCAAGGAGTATTCCAGGAGTTTTGGCGTTTTCCCCTATTTTCAAGAGCTTTTCAAGCGCCCTTAAGGGCGTGTTTTCAATTCAAGGACTTTTCAAGGATTTCAAGGAGTAGCACGAACCCTGTAATAGAATTCCAAAAAGGTTATTAAAATTACCTAGTAGCTTTCTATGCTTTTCTTGTAATTTGAGCAATTCATCATCACTGAAAAAATGAAGTTAGATAATTGATTCATTAATGAGGACTTTTCTCAAATTTGATTTGTTGTTTTATTGATAATTGAAGCAGCACGTTCTTCTTGATCGACAAAGAAATGTATGGGATCCTAAACAACAATAAAAAATTATAATAACAACTCTTAATAAAAATACGCAGGTGATTATAGAAAATCTCGCGCGCTGATTGGTCAAGAAACTCACACTATCACACGATAATCACCTTCAGCGAAATTCCGAAATGGCAACCGGCCGCTTTGTTGCTGTTACCGGAAAAAAATGCATTTTCTCTTGTTTTTTTCCTTTTTTTGAAAGAATCACCTGTGTATTTATACTAAAACAATTATTTGCCTCAGGCTCAGTGATTATTGGAAGACTCGCGTCTCGGTAAATATTCCCCGATTCTTCGTTTGCATTAGACGTCATAGCCGCCATGTTAAAATTACACAAAAGATTTTTTAATGAATTCTTTTGTTATATCTTCCAACATGGCGGACATCCCTTTTGCTTATTGTGCTCTCTTGGGATTGATTGCAAACCAAGAATAATCACTTCGCCTTCGGCGAATAATTGTTAAATATATAAAGTTGCCGATACACGCTGCACTTTTTTCTCGCGCTGGCAATGCACACTTAATTTTTTCCGTTGCATTGCCAGCGCGAGGCGCCAACGATTTCTCACAACGCACAGAATATTGCAGAAAATCAACAAGTTTGAGCTTTTCTCTGCAACCCTTTCGGAATTGTACGCCTAAAAATAGCGAAAACTGAAAATTGCAGCGTCTATCTCCCATGTTTACTCGTAATGAAATAATCCTATTCAGACTAGTCAATCAGGATTTAATACTGATTTTTACTGATTTTTACTGATTTTTACCCTTTTGATATTGTAGACGTTAAAATTTTTCGCTGCAACAAAAATGTGAAATTGCGTTACCAGCTCGAGAAAAAAATTCAGCGTGTATCATGCCCCGCGACTTTGACGGCAACGAAGTCTCGCAACACAAAAATTGTTGCAGAAAATCAATAAGTTTAAACTTTGAAAAATCTCGATGCGTTTACACCTACTGCAAGAAAGTTGTCATACGAAAATAGAACATTAGTGATTTAGTGGGATAGGAATTATATTTAAAAACAAAAGGAGATCACTGAAGCTGAACTTTTTTTTGAATCTTCGAGCGGCGAGGTAAATATTCCCCAATAATCACTGAGTCTGAGGCAAATGATTGTTTTAGTATAAATACACAGGTGATTCTTTCAAAAAAAGAAAACAAAGAAGATAAAAGACATTTTTCCGCTAACAGCAACAAAGCGGCTGGCCGCCATTTTGGATTTTCGCTCGAGGTGATTATCGTGTGATAGTGTGAGTTTCTTGACCAATCAGCACGCGAGATTTTCTATAATCACCTGCGTATTTTTACTAAAATATATCTATAATAAAGTGCCCTCCTTAGTCAAAAGACAGATATTACCGGAAGTGACCAGTGTTTTATGTGTGAATGTATTATATGGTCAAAATAAATTATCATAGCCGTTGGTCATTTAATTTCTACTTTTTACCTTTCCTTCTCTATTTCTTCATCAGAACTAGAGGTATACACGCTTTTTATTCCTTGCCTTGCTGTGGTCAGCCTCAAAAGTTCTGTTCGTGGAATAAAATCATTTGTAGAAATTAAGGAGCAAGTAGATTTTGTAATAGGATTTGTGCCCCCCTCCCCTCCCCCCTTTTTTTGATAATGATTCCTTATGTATATATTAGATAGTTCTTGACTTAATTTAGTATATAAAGAATAACTTAAAAACGTCCAGTGTCTTTTTAGTGTGCACCCAATTTTATTACATTTTAGTAGTATAAGGAAAAGGCTATTACAACATGTTCTCCATTTTACTCCCGGTGGGGGGAGGGGTATCCCCTATATTCGCTATACGGGTACGTGCCGCCAAACAGGGTATGGTTTTGAGCGATTCTACTCTGGAACAGGGTATATAAAATCGCGCTAGCTCTGGGACAGGGCATATGAAATCACGCTCTCTCCTCTCTGGAACAGGGTATCCATTTTCACAATACCAGAACAGGGTATGATTTTCACCGATCTTGCTCTGGAACAGGGTATGAATTTCAGTGATTTTACTCTGGAAAAGGGTCAGTGTTCAGAGGGCTCAGCGGCACATCCCTACTCTAAACGGGCAGGAGTACCCCACCCCCCGGACATTTTACCCATTTTGTCATTTCAAATCTTACCTATATCGCTTCCACTGCATTCATCCTCTTCATGGTCATCAATGTAGACAATATCCTGATGAATGAACTTTTGATTTTAGTACGGCTTGTAAACCACGATGCGATAAATGTGGACATATTTTCCCATTTCAGGCCCCGTCCACACGTATCCGGAAATTTTCGAAAACGGTCTCCAGAGTGAAAATTTTCGAATACGCTCCAAATACAGATACGTGTGGACGGTCGTATCCGCAAATTTTCGAATACGCTGACGTAAACACAATTTTGCGCATGCTCAATAAGAAATACTATCCGTCAAAGGGACTAGGCACCAGCGTGCATCAGGGCGGACCAAGAAATTTCCGGATACATGTGGACAGTGAAAACGATTCGAAAACGATTCGAATAAAATTTGAAAAAAAATTTGCGGATACAGAAATTTCCGGATACGTGTGGACGGGGCCTCAGACCATGTGCCATTCTCTTGAGAATAAGGTTCTTTGTTTGAGTTGTATCCATATTCATGTTCTTCTCATGTGCAACCGAGCGCAACCATTAAACAAAGAAATAATACTCCAGAGAATGAAACGTGGTCTGACGTACTTTTGCAACACTTTTATATTTGCACATGATTTTTGTACTAAACTTAAAGAACACAAAGTGCAGTTGGTGTCTGGAAGTTGGTGTCTATTAAGAAGTAAGTTGACTATCAAAAAACTACTACTTACAGATTCACTGTCTGAATCAAACCATTTCTTTGGCAACCGCTTGCGCTTGTTCCCAAACACTAGATGTATATTTTGAGCAACAGGAAAAATTAAGTATTTTAAACAGTTAATCGGCAAAGAAAAAAGAAAAAAAAAATGTGATAAAACAACAAACAAACCACTTTCTTTGCTTTTTTCTTTGTCGGTTGGTCCAATACGATCCTGAAAAAAGTAAAATAATGGAATGTAATGTCTGTCCAAATGTTCCAATTAACAACTTTATGAGGGTTTCAAGAGCTTTGTTGTAAAATAAAATAAATAAAAAATAAAAATAAATCTCTTATTTAAGTGTCTAGTTGTCTAGCGCTTTTCGCACTAACTCACCTTTTCGGCCCACTGGTCTATCATACTATCACTAATGCTACATTACCCTGTCAGTATTGTTCTCCTGATAAGTAGCTTGGATTGTGTGTTACGGTCACCAAAAAGTTCGGACATCGTTCTCAGATTCCCATACAAATTCACTGAGTTTAAAGATTTCTTTAGTTAGCTCTCTTAACAGCAGAAAGAAAAGCTTCAATCAAGCTAGAAAAATGATTATTTACTTGTATTTAGAGAACTAATTAAACATTAACCCAGTAAATAGTTCATTTAGAGTCAGCATATTTGTACGGAAATTCGAGGACAACCGAACTTTTTGGTAACTGTAACACAGTCTAAAACGATTTATACCCTGTGACGGCTAGCGCCGAAAAGGTGAATAGGAGGTTTGCATGATGGCGTCATTTGACTCCCACTACCAAGATGCTTCGCGAATTTTCGTTCTTATTTAAATTTGTATTTCCTCGTGAGAATAGTAAGACAATTGGTGGTAATTAACTGAACAAAAGAAAGTGTGCAAGGGGGTCTGGTAGTAGATGTCAATGACGCCATCAGGTAAACGTCCTATTGGGGACACTTTTCACTCATACACACTACGGCTACATTCAATATTCTATGCACACAACGCTCAACTCACATTAGTGTTGATTATTACGGAGGGAGGAAACCGGAGAACCCGGAGAAAACCCTCGTAGCATAGAAGAGAACAACACATTAAACAAACTCAATTTACATGTGGCGACCGCAGGGCTCGAACCAGCGACCCGACCCGTTGAACTCACAGCGGTGAAAGACACGTTAGCTGCAAACGCAACCCACGCTACCCAAAAAATAATTTCTGCAACTCTGTGGATTCATAATGCAAAAGCTGTGATGAAAAAAGAGTTGATAAAGAACAAACGAGAGGCAGTGTATAAGCATCGCAGTGCCCCGGGGAGGGGGGGGGGGGTACTCCCATACATGGACTATACGGGGATGATCCGCTGAACAGGGTATGGTTTTTCGAGCTTCTTGTCATAAACAGGGTATTCAATTTCACTCAAGGTCCAAGTTCTTCCTGAGTTTCTTGTCATATTCAGGGTTTCTACTTTTGTATTGACTGCAACTGGTTATTATGGTCGTCAAAAAATTATACGCGAGATGACATGATAATTGAAACGGGAACTCAGTGCAATTAATTATATCTTTTGTCATAAACAGGGTCTACAAATTTGAGTTTTTTTATCATAAACAGGGCACCCCTTTCAGAATCCCCGCGGCTTTCCACACCACCATACATTTCTTTGTTGGAATTTATTAAATTCATGTTCTGTGATTTTTGACTTCAACTTTTTTGGCTCCCTTAGATAGTTTATTAAATTACTATTTTTTGCTTTGATTTTATTAGTTGGACCTAATAACATTTCTTATTTTTATCAAAAAATATTTTGTTGCTAAAAATATTTCCCTTTATCTCAAATGCGGGATACCTGTGCCAGTAAAAACCGAAACTGAAACCTTAGTTTCTATGACAACAAGGGAAGCTATTATTTAAATAGAGCCGGAAGTACCATATAAGGGAAGCAGTAGGCGGACTTTATGATCACGTGGTACATTGGGCGCCAAGAATTTGAATCTAAAATCCTGCCTTCTGATTGGTCGAAATTGAAGGAAATCTTTCGATGACGTCACGCTGTGCTCCGTCGATGAAAACGCGACCAAAAGAGATTCAAGAGAAAGAGTTTTCAGGTAAGATTTCTACTTTAAATCCTAAGATATTTTAGCCATCCTTAGCTCCAGAATTATTTTGGTTCCACCATAAGATTTTTAGATGCCTATATGATAATGCTGTGTGTTCATTTTGAAATCTAATCTAAATTTTATCGCTGGAAGTGGTAATGTTTGTGTGGTATTTCTCTGTGACTTCACGGTATCTTATTGTTTTTGAGTAAATATCGCTTTAAAACTGTCTTTCTTAAATCGATTTTATTCGCAGAGTCATAGAAAAGTGTCATTCCATAAGGAATGACCTAGATTTCTTTGAAAAAATTGAAAATTCTATCGATTTAACGAGTGTTTACGACCAAAGATGACTATGTCAATCCATGTTTGGAAGTCATTACATGAACTGAGAAGAATGTATGTTTAAAGCTAAAAAACTCACATTTATGACCTCTTAATGTTTAAATAAGCAATGTGGACTCTTAAAAGACTCTTAAGTAACTTGTATGGAGTGTTTTTCGTTTGCAAAATGCGTTCAATTTGGTTAAATTCTGCAGAAACAACGTCGTACCATAGAATCTTAATCTATTTCCTGTCGAAGTAAACACAAACGTTCGCGCCCATAATCAAAACACCAAAATCCTTTCCTTTTGAGATTCTCTCTAAGAATATGAAATAACTGTTCAAAGATTAAATACTCTTTCTTCTTAGCTATATTTTTTCGAATTTTTGTTTTGTTTTGGCATGGTTTAATTGAGTTGTTTTTGTGTTATGTGACGTGCAAGATTCGTTCTAAGGACCAGTCATGCAAATATATTTGTAGACTCTTTTCATACTCATTGGATGTGATCAACACCCACGCTTATCCCTCGTATTCCACAAAAAAGCTATCATGTCTGTCCAAGTCTTTGCTACTTCGATAAAGTCTACATCTCAATAACTTTTTTACTATCAAAATTGATTCGTAAATGTCACTGAATTTGTACATTTGAAATTTCCCTTACATAACAGATCTTTAAAAAATTTATATTTACAATAAAAAAWTTTTCTTTGTAACTGTACCTTTCCAAAATATTTTGTTGTTTATTAAGGTTTCATTTGAATTTCTAATGCATTGTATTTATAATAAATCTGAACTATCTGAAGGGATTTTAATTTTAGATCCCCCAGTACAACCTGGAATGGTAAAACACTTTGTAATTTTCAGATGTAAAGTATTGGTGTTCTTGTTCATCATTATCGATTCAAAATTATTTAAGAACTTTTCATTCTGAAGCTTCGCTAAAATGCCTGAGCGATGTTTGTAAATTTCAATATTACCCATGTTTGCATTAAAGTGCGAACACCAGACATCAAGATATGTCCTAACTGGCTCCTAAAACTTGTTTGTTTGTTGGTTAAAAACTAAATGTTTGTCAATTTCAAACAGGACTGCCTTTAACGTTGACTTTTTAGCTTACAAGTTTCTGGAGCCGGTTAGAACATGTTTTGATGTCTGGTGTTTGTGCCTAGATGCAAACAACGGTATTGTATTAAGTAAACTGCTAAATTTTTGCAAATTTACCAATATAGCCATGTTTCTATATAAAACAAACTCAGTAGTTGTATCTGACATTCAAAAATGCTAAAGGTGTTGATAGATGACTTTTGATTGACAACACATTTCAATAGGCAGCTCAAGATCATGAAGTTTCCATAAGAGTAATCATGAGAAGTATGAGTGGCGTAGAGGTGAAAGAGTTCGCCCCTCATCAATGTAACCCGGGTGTTCGAGTCCCACCAGTTTTGGTGTCATATATGAGTAGAGTTGTTTGTTGGTTCTCCCCTGTACTTTAAGGGTTTTCCTCCCTTGGCAATAATCAACTTCTAAATTCCAATTTGAATTTCAGTGGATAAACAGCCACTCTGTAGAAATGCCACAGCTAAATCCTATTTATTTTATTTTTATTTAATCCAACATGCCCTATGGCAAATTTGTGTATATTACTAGCACTTTTCAGATGTTGGGTTTCCTGTGCTTTATTATGCTTGTTGACATTCAAAGGTTCCGTACAAATTTTGAACTTCAATAGCGCAAAACCTCAAAAATCTAGATTTGACTATACTTTTCTTTATAAATTTTCTTTACCCAACAGGGCCCAGTTGTATGAAGAGTGGATAGCGCTATCCGGTGGATAAATCCTTATCCATTGGATAAGTCAGTGCTGTTATCCAGTATATTTATCCACTGGATAAGATTTATCCATTGGATAGCGCTATCCAGGCTTCTTACAACTGGGACCAGGGCTGGTTGTACTAAGGGCGAATAGTACTATCAGACAGATAAATTTTATATAGTGGATAAATTTATTGGATAACAATATCAACTTATCCAGTGGATAAGCATTTATTCGTTGGATATTGCCATCTACCCTTTGTACGACTGGGCCCATGTAATCGGAAATCTTTTGTCAAAGTTTGAAAAACATGGAATTTTTGGAATTTCTTTGTAGAAAAAGCAGTGTTTGTCGTTGTTGTTGTTGTATAATTGCAATTTACTGAATTCTGATCATATTCTCAAATTTTTTTTAGATGTTTAAAATAATTTTTAAATTAAATGTCATGAAAAATTTCTTGGTAGCTTTTTTTAATTTTTGAGTTTTGAATTTATGTGTACGAAACTTGGTCTTTGCCATTTTTCTTTTGAAAACTTGTCAATATAGTTATATTCAAGATTCAGTATCTTGAAAAAAGGTCAAAACACACCATTTTACCTTTCCATTTTTGGAATAAGTGCTTCTACACATCACATATCCATGAATTAGAAACTGGTACAGGGCTCAGAATACCAGAAAAAATTGGCCTGCCACTGTTTTTTATGTTTGACTGGTGAAACAAATTTTGACCTGCCATTTATTTTTATGGCATGACGCATGAAATGGACAAGACTACCGGCAAAATTAATTTATGCTATTTTTAGACTTCTGAATCAATTTTCTGAGCAGACATTTATTTTGTCAGAGTATTAAAATCGAAAAAGTTATGAACGTACACGTTTCTGCATCCACAAATTAAACGGAGGGTTTTAAAGTGGAGAGCTTAAGTTGAAGGACACTCTTTTAACCAGTAATATTTTATGAAGGAGATTCATTTTTGAATAGGAACAATCACCAGATAAAAAAACAGTGTAAGAAGATGTCCAGTAAATGTCGCCTGCAATTGTATAATCCATTTGACAGTTCATTATAATTTTCGCCAGTCAAACTTTAAATTTGGCCATTGGAAGGCTGCTATTTTGAGCCCTGTAGTACATGCTTGTTGCACTAATTTGATATGTTTTTAGCAGAAAATACATAAACCATTCATTTTATATTTAATGCCATTTTTCCTATTGTTAACAATATAAGCTTAAACTTCACCTTCCTACTAATATCAAGGTGTCCCATTTATTTCTGTTTGTTTTGTCACTGATGTTTTTTCAAGGGGGTAAGGTTATGTGACCTGTTTATAATAATTAAATTTCTATAGGGCTATATACATTAACCCTATAGCGCTTAACAACTAGGAAAATAATAATGATAAATATATACAAATAAAATTTTATTAAAAAAACCTAAGAAGGTGAAAAATTATAAACTATATTAGTAGCATATTATATAAAAAATGTTCAGTCCATCTGTAACACTTAACGTATGCAACAATCACTACAAATTTGAAATAGAAATATTACAACTTGTAAGCATCGCGGAACAGAAATGTTTTTAAGAGATTTTTAAAGTGATCAAAATTAGTACATGTTTTAATTTCTCTTGGTAAAGTGTTCCATAGACTGGCTGTTAGTGCAAGTTGTCTTCATGAAACTAGTACAGATTGTTTGCTAAAGACTTGTTCCAAGGCAATCTCTTTGAGACTCACAGAGTAATGAGCTAAGCAAGTGAAAACAAGAGCTAAGCAAGTGAAAAATGAGCGATACTTGAAGTCATGAGAGATCAAGTTGTTCCTCTTGCAGAACTTTTGTTTGCATTCTATACCAAAAATTGCATGTATTATTGTAGCTTTTATTTCATTTTGTGCCAATAATGGTGTGTATTATTATGTCATATTTGTGTTTAATCATTTTACCTCTGCTAACAAATCTGATTTGGTCAAAATTATTATGATTACTAAAGTATCATATTTGAATATTTTACCTCTACAGAATCATATGTAACGGTGACCTCAGCTAATATCTCTGATGTGGTCCATGTACAAGAGATGAAGAGAGGTAGACCAGACGAGCATGAGGGAGTATTTGGTCGGGGCCGTAGCTTCCAGCAAGTTCTAGCTCCGGCACCAGGAGGAATTCCTTCATTTGAAAATGTTCAAGATAGTATTGCAAGCTCTTTAACTCAGTTTGGTACCCCCCAAATGGCAACACAAGGGTTCCAGTAAGTATCTTCTTATTAAAAAAATGCCTTAGTATAATGATTTTTGCAGGTAGAAAGTCTTTTATGTGTCTGTCCTCTTATTGACGAGAAATTTCGTCATCACATTTCCAAAGTAGCGTGGATTCACGAGCCGTAGCCGAGTGGATCCGCATACTACTTTGTGATGACAAAATTTATCATCAATAAGAGGACAGACACATAAAAAACTGATGTCTATTTGTTTTTTACAATAACGAAAAACGATTTAGTGATCAAAACAAGCAACGGAAAGAGTGCGCGCTCGTTGACATCAGCTTATCAGTCTGTCCTCTTATTGATGATTAAAAATAACCAGTCAGCGCGCAAGAAATTTGTAAGTTATTGTAAAATGTTCTTTGTGGTATTCAGTTCCCTACACTGACACTGTATTCTTTTTTAAAGTAAACAATAATTTTAAAGTGTATATCAAGGAAAATATTTTTCTTTCAAAATCACTAATGTGTGAATAGTGTAGTAGTATGGTTGCAGTATTTTTGTATGTCAAATTTTCTTTTCGGAGATATAAACATTTTAAATATGAATATGCAAATGAGATGGCATAAATTCAAGACCAATTTGTTATACAAAAATGCTTTTGTTGAAAGTACTGTATTTTTTTCATTTGCAAACCATCCTCATAACTGAAATATATGGCTTTTACACTTTTAGGTCATTTCACTTCAGAACGCTTGTCGTAAATTACACTGCAAAATGTAACCCATTCTTGAATTTACGTTATCTCATTTGCATATTGATATTTCGAATGCTTATTTCTCTGAAAAGAGAAGTCAACGTACAAAAATACTGCAACCATACCACTACACTGTTCACATATAAGTGAGTTTGAAAATAATTTTTTTTCCTTGATATACACTTTAAAACATTTAGAATCCTTGAAGTAAAGTTACTAAAATCATTATTATGGGCTATAAATGCACCCATATAATCTGAACCCTCGATATTTCCATTGCAGTCTATGCTTTTATCATTACACCCTTTTAACTTGTGGATACGTGAAGCAAAGAAACAATTCAAGTTAAGAGGGGCCTGAATACGCAAATGTGTCACTCGCTTACTCACTAACTAAGATGTTAGAGAATGACATGTGGTTGAAAATGGGAAAATATCCTGTTACAGCTAAAGAGTCTTATTGGTGGTTTTCATATGGAGCTGCCCTCTTGGTTGAATCTAACAAACAATATTTTACAATAACTTACAAATTTCTTGCATGCTGATTGCTTATTTTTTTATCATCAATAAGAGGACAGACAAATAAAGCTGACATCAACAAGCGTGCGCTCTTTCCGTTAGTTTTGGCAGATCCACTCGGCTTGTTGTTTTTTTGTTTTTTTTTTGGCTGTTATGTCTCGTTGCCAATAATGCAATACAACAGTGAAAGCTCATACATATTTATAGCAGTACCAGGTCACATTTGTTTTCATCTTTGTCTCTTGTCATTTTATTCTCTTGAGAATGAATATTTGTGATTTTTTTAAAGGGTACAAGCTCAGCAGGCCCAAAACCATGGCCAAGGCCACCAACAGGTAACTAGCATTATGACTAGTATAGACTGTCAGGTGTAACTAGCATTATGACTAGTATAGACTGTCAGG